ACACACACACAAACAAACACACACGCACACACGCATGCACACATCCATCCATCAACAAACAGAGCAAGCAAACACGAGTTTGTTCTAAACAACAACTGGCTTTGGCAGCGAGGCCGGCCTTCGCCCTACGAACTTGTCTTGCGCTTCGAGGAGAGGCGCTCCAAAACGAGGACCCCAGCAACCTAGAGCTTGACATCAACTGCGCCCTAAAGCTGCCTCGTAGACCTGTGGTCCCAGGCTTCTTTCTGTCTCATGCCATTCTGTCAAGCTGGCGTGCTGCAGGTCAGCTGCACATCCCCTCTCGACATATGTTGACCAACTTCCTGCCCGAAACTTTTTGTTGTCCCACATACCTGCTCCAACAACTCGCACCACGTCTTCTGAAGAAGCCCTGCTGGAACCAGGTTCTGGGCTCTGCAGATCTGGGTCTAGAAATGGGTCTAGAAGGTCGGCAGCTCTAGAGAAGCATCTCTTTGGCTTCGGAGGCAGAAGTTGGAGTTTTCAGACTCAAGATCCTGTCGGGTGTCCAAGATACCAACCTACAGCACGATTGGCATCAAAGCTGGCCACAGTGATCCTGACCTGAATCCTCAAACCTATATAAGCTCTGTCCCCGTGATCAGGCAGAAGCCCTCCAGCTCTGGTGTCCTGGCGTACAGAGAGTGCTAGGATCTCAAGCTGCACAGGCGATGCAGGCGAGTCAACCAGAGAGAGGGAGGGATGAATGTTGAGTTACAGTACGCAAGGAAATCGCGAAGAGCGGTCAGACATGATGACGCGCCCATTGATGGTTCTGAATGCTTCTCTCCTCCATGATCCCCGAAGTTAATGAAAGCTACGTGTCCTAGACCGTGGCTTTGCAAAGTTTAGTTCAATCCCTGCAGACTTCAGCGTGCTGCAAACACTGCACACCCTACAGGTGGCAAGACGCTTTCAAGAGAACCAGACTGCGCAAGCACATCGAGCACAAGGCTTTTGATTTTGGCATGTCGATTTCCTCCGCTTTCCTGCTGAAGCCACTGCGACCTGGCTGGGCCCATCTGGGGGTTCCCGCCATTTGTTTCTCTTCGCTGGCAATGTATAGCTCAGATGCTGCCTGGCCATGAAACATGCGGCCACATGATAGTCGCCCACCACACTTGCGGCTGACAGCTGTCAGCCTTGACAGTTCCCTGACTGCTTTCATATGACGAGATGTAACACACGGTTCTAACTCGGTACATGCTAGCAGTCGCTTCTCATTGTTTACCGGCTGCATGTGTTGGCCATCGAAATGCTGACTGGTGAAACTGACAAGTGCATCCTCGATTTTCGAGCCTGCCAAAATCTTAAAAATTAAAACTCAGACGACAACATCCAAAGCAGTACAATTGCAAAGAGTGACTGGTTATCGTTTCAGTCACCAATGCCGATGTTTGTTATGCTTGTGGAATCCGCCAAGACTGACCACTCCAAAGGTGAATGCAGATTGCTTCTATTTGAGCTTCAGGGCAGCCGTAACCGGGAGCTGTGAGCAAATCATCACATGCTCGACCCAGTAGCGGCCATGTAGCACAAACTCAGGAGAAGCTACTGCAGGGACGTTCGGGATGTATCCCTGTATCCAAACTGCACTAATTTGGATGTTACCGTTTTCTGATGGAACTTAGACTCGCGGTGTTGCCAGATGCCGTTCACAGACTCCGGAGGTTCACAAAGCCTTCCATTTAAGTCGTTCCCCAGCTGTAAACTGTAAACAGGATCTTCTGGGCCCGGTCTTCGCGAGCAGGGAAAGGCCCAACCGAAGCCGAAGCCCCTTAATACAAAGTGCAGAACTCGACTCTGTGGACAACTGGCGAACGCGCGAGTCTGAAACTGGCAGGGCTCCGTGATGCGGCCAGGTTTTGTTCTATCCCGCGGGTTTTATGACTTAAAGCCATGTAGATCATCATGTAAAGTTCTATCGGAATGGAGAGCGAATGTCGCTGACGCAGGCTACAGCGCAGACCGGAAGACTCCATTCGCCAAACATCTCAACTGGAGTCTACAACCTGCTCTCAAAAGTAGGGCAGAGTCATATAGCCAGTAAGTAGCGCATAAGAACCAAAAGGACATGACAATTACCAGATGGCAGTCACCAGTTCCAACACCGGCAACGGCAGTGTTACCGGCACCCCCACCACTAATACCATCATCATCGTCATTCTGACTGTCGCCACTGCCACTGCAAGCCTTTGCGGGACCCATGGACGGCTCCGTGGCGAAGGACATCAAAAGCCGATAGACCAAAGCAATCACACAAGGAAAAGCCGAGGAGAACCCTGTAACGGCCAAAAACAGATCAAAGCTACTTTCCTGGTCCGTGCCCTGGCTTCTGTGCAAGTGTTGCTGCAGAGGACGAGAAGGGGAGGGAATCAGTGCAAGCTTCAGGCAGGGAAGTCATATAGTAGACACGTCCCAACCAGCCATCACATGTGCACAGACACGGGATGACACGGGTACGGGTACAGTAGAGTCCCCATCTCTGCTACAATCTCCTTCGTGCCTCGCGACTCCAAAACCAAAGCACCCACACGAAGCCCACTTCTTCTACGCCGCGCCAGAGGCATCAGAGGCGGTGTCAATGTCGGTCTCCCCTTGCTTGCATCCACGATTCTTCACCAGAAGCATGAAGATTCGAAAAGCACCAACAAAACAAATCATGACCCTTCCCACGAAGGAGTGTTGCGTAGTGAGCAATCGGCAGTGTGTGGAAATTGTGTCCTGAAGCACTCAATGCTGCATGCACGATCAAAGCTGACAGCGCAGAATATCTCATGGTCGGAGCAACAACACAAGAAGACCTGTTTCGGGCGTAAGCTCCTTCTTTTCGCTTACTTTCAAGCCTGAAGGTTTATATACGATGAACCGTAAGACGGCGTAAGAAATGTCTGGTCTGCGACCGAAGCGACCCAGATGGTGCGATTCGAAGATCCAGCCGATGTGCTCATCGGAGTGGCAGTTGACTCCGGTCAGGATCGTCAGCTGGTCCTGCCAATTCTGCTTGTTTGTGCAGCTTGACATCTGAGGTGGACAGTTTAATTTATCAATGTACCAATCAGGCTTCTTTTGGAAAGTACACGGGGTCCTTATGATACGGATGCCGTAACACCAGCGTCTTTACTTGGGGCGTAATTATCTGGACGGCACCAGTAACGCGCTCGATGGCCTCACAGCAGAAGGCGGTGCACTCAAGAGCATGTGCAAGATGGTGGGTGATGTCGCGTTGGACAGGAACGTTGCCATGCAGGTTGAGGCAACTGGCCCGTGCCGCCAGGAGTGGGCAGGCATGAGCCATACTGCATCCAAACCGACAGCATGAGCTTCGGCAAGATGGAGGGACTGTGGAGGGATGCTGCATTTGACAGGAGCCTCGCATGTATGCTGCAGGACGACGAGTTGGAAGGCCCTTGCAACTATGAACGTGACGGCAGGAACAAGAAGAACCTGACCACCAGCTACACCACCGTCATGAACACTGGCATGCAAGAAGGAAGGCGGTGCGTTTGGGCAAGAACTTTGCTAGATATACACTACCATGCCGCAGAAGGTCCTTGCAACCAGGAGCGGCGCGTATAAACCAGGCTACCGGCTGCTACGTACTACCGTGAGCGTTGACAAGATGGAGGGCAAATGGAGGGCAGTGCGTCGGGCAGGCACTTGGCTTCCATGCTACAAAACGATGAGGCGGATGGCCAAAAGCAACCAGGAGTGGCAGGATATGAATCTGCCGTCGGCGGCTGCAACGCCATCATGGGCGCTAGCAAGATGAAGGATGAAGGGCGATGTGTTGGACAGGGTTTCCGCATTTATGGAGGTGACGGTGATTGCAACCGGGAGTGCGATGATATGTACCAGACCCGCTTTTGCCGAAGAGGACATCCTTGCGTCCTTCCTTGTTCACTGGGGCGCGATCCTTCACTCTGTCGGCGGCTTGTACATAGGCCCCCTTGGCAAGCATGAGCATGAAGGCTTTAACTTCATAGGCTGCGACCCGGCCGGCGGTTTAATTGTAGCATTGTGGGTGTACGGCTAAGGCAATAGACCAAAGCAAGAACATTGCCGGGCTCGAACTGCAATCCTGAAATTGCCCGAATTGACCCGAGAACAGTGTGCAAAGGACCAAATCGACTCTGCACGAATTCCCAGCATACTTCAGAATCCCTGCACTCAAGCAAAGATATTCAGATATCCCAACAAGAGTCCAGTATTCAAAAAAATAGTGAAGCATACAACGATCCTTGATCTGGTTCAGCTCAACCTCCATGTAGGCCTTGGCTGGTTTGGGCCACTTCTTTGGAGGCTTCAAGCTGCGGAGCAAGAGGTGGGGCCACGGAATTCCAGTCTCTCTACAGAACTCTAGTGCAGTCGAAACCTGAAAGACTTTCGTAGGTCCGGTCATCCTATGTGCTTCTGGCTTGGGGTGTGCGGCTCGCTTTTCCAGCTAAATCGGGGCTTGCGATCGCGGAAAGGCAAATCGCAGGGAACCCCACGACTCTATGATCTCATCATGGCTCATCTGTTCATTTGCTGGACACAAAGCAAAAGTTTAAACATGCTACGGCCGAACCCCCAAAGCGTGAAACCTCTGAAAACGTACGTGTACTACATAGATACATATCTGCAATGAGAGATCTTCGGGCTTGAAGCTCTCATCCTAAGCCTATTCTGCACAGTGCAAGCCCAGGGAAGATCGATTGTTTGGCCGAAGCCCTCAAAGTCTCAACTTGTCTAAGCCAAAGCTCGCCACATCACACGGCAGTCAGGATAAAGAGTCCGCAGTATCCCATCAGTGAAAGAGCATGATCATGCACGATCGCGTGCAACATCTAAGCTAGACATGACAAAACTCCACAGAGCCTCATCCCCATGTGGCCCTATTTCTCCAGCGGATCAACACCTTACACCACAAATTGTCGAACTAGAACTCCATGCTTGCAGGGCTTGTGATGTGCGCCTGCAAATTCGCGCTATCGGCCTGCAAACAATGCTTACAGATTGGTTCTCTCTTGTTATCATTACTAGCGTTGTTGAAGCCATGAACCTGCCCGGGTATCATGATACTGAGTAGCAGCAGCACTTTGTCGATAATCATTTTTGTCGTCGCAGTTACAACGCTTTTGTGAATGCGGGCGGTTGTCACGGGAAGGCGCGTAAGGAACGGCAAGATGCATTGAACTTGCCCTGCGTCTTCATAAGCCACTGCTGGTCATTGATAATCCTTGGGTGGTGAGACGCTCACAACATGGGGAGGACGCTGCAACCCCTGCGGATGCCCGCCGCACCACCGTCCGCAGCCCGACACAATTAATTCATTCTGGGCGCCCGCAAGCGTCTCCGGGTTAACTGTTGAGGGCCTGTGCCCAGAAAGTGACGGAGATGCATTTATCAAGTTCAAGATAAAATCAGATTGTGTGACGTTCTGCCGCTTCCTGCTTCCATGAACAGAAACGGTTGGGTGTGGTCCTAACCCGGCCGGGCACTCCAGCACTTTGCGGCGGATGCGAACATCTGGACCCATGTTCACCTTGAAGCTCAGACTTCTTGCAGCTATTGACAATCCTTCCTGGCCGTCCTGCACACGCCAATTACCAATCAAGCATCTTTCCGACATCCATGGCCGTGGCTTGACCTCGCAGCCGCAAGCAACCCATGAGGAACCTTGGTTGACTGTGCTGGTGCGTGTTGTCTGTGACCCGCGAAGCAGGTGAGACAAACATGCTTCGGTCTCATCAAGCGGCTCTTCAATTTCGACGGCGCCGCCGGAATCCTTGTCCAGGAGCCTCAATATGGAATCAATCAGCAAATCCAAGCTGTTTTAAAGCAAGAACTCGTAAAACCCTCGTCGAACAGAGAGCCCTGTCTATCAACGAGACTGTGTCTAGTACGAAACCTCGTTTAGTAGAAGAGCCTCTCAAACAGAAGACCCTGCGAAACAAACACTATCTAAGTCGAAACCCTGTGAATGTATCATACGAAGATGTAGAAATGCTTACAGATGTAGATATAATATAGATACAGTTGCAGATGTAAGTCCTGTCCGGTGACAATCTCTTCAAGCAGCAAGCAAGCAGACCCATGTCTACACCATCAAAATTGTCGTTTGGCTTCGGCTGAGTCAGGTTGTCACTTTCTGGGCCGCAGGCTTTAGGGTTCCGGCTCTCAGGCATTGCAAGCAGAGCTGCTTGAAAAAAGACCATGCATCCCAGACGTCGAGCCCCAATGTCTGGAAGTACTCACCTGAGCCATCTCCGCAACCGTTCCGTAAAGAAATTGCATGCCCTGTATGATACATGTGTAATCTCACACCACTAGAGGCACTCTCATGTATGGTGCAGTCATTCAACCACCTCCTTCCAAAAAGACTGGAGGTAGTCCCGGCTTCTTGAGCCGGCAAGTTGTTTTCTCCCCATGGCCGCGTGCCCTGCAGCCCGTGGATGAGCCACGGGTAGGACTTCGGAAACCCTTGGGTTTGTAGGTGCAAATCAGTTGTTCTACAACTCTACGTTTGGTTGCATTCAGGGCTATGGCTTTAAAGACTTCGCTTCCACAGGGAGTGAACCCAACAGAAGCAGTGAAGCAAACACTGCCAAATAAAGGGCTAAGGCGGCCTACAAGCTGTCACAGCCGACCTTAAGGAGGCATCGTGCTACGCAACATGTATGCAAAGTGGTGCACGACTTCGCTCATCTGCAATACGTCATGAAACCATCCAGTGCTCAAGGTCTTGGCGATATGATATGCCAGCTTCAGGCAATGGAGGACTTAGTCTAACCCCTGAGCAGTCAATTTCAGGACCAGAAACCTCAATCTTTTGAAGAACGGCCGCGAACCCGAAGCCCCCTCAACCCTAAACACCACAAACCCACAGCCCTGAAACTCCAAGCCCTAGACCCCAAGGCCTACATCCCTAAGACGTAGAGCAGCAGCTGGCCTTCTTTCTACAGGCTACAGAGTCTTGCGATGCAGCTCCCTTCGGGAGGTCTGGTCTTTGGGAAGGGAGCTTGTTTATCTATGTTGATCTTATGTGCTCTAGAGAAGGGGGAGGCTGGGGCTTTAGGAAGTGCAGGAAACCAAGGAGTTTTACGAGTATTGCTGCTCAGCCAGAAGCACGCACTTCCACCGAGTTGATCTTCTCCTGGAACATCTTGAAAGTAATGACACCTTGGTTGGGGTTGTGCAACTTTTACATTCACTGCCTTCAGATCCGCAAAATACTGCAAAGAGAACCACGGCAAAGAACAGCCCCAGTCTGCAGCTGCCTTGGGCTCTCGAGAAAAAACGTTTGAATTGCTCAGCAATGAAACCATGCCTGAAACTTGACTTCTTCATTGCACAACTCTGCACAGGTGCCCGGGCAGCTGCGAGATCCCGCGAAAGCCGGGTCCGAAGGCCTAGAACCTTACCCCCAGAATCCTCTGCCCCAAAGTCCTTTCCTTAACTCACGACCAACCGCAAAACCCGCCACCCCAATGAAGAGCAAGTGTTAGTGTCTCGGAAGGTAGGCTTCAAACTCTAGAACAGAGGGGCTCGAGCTATAAAACACGATGTTGGTCGACACACTGGGTGGTGGGGTACTCTTGGTGATCATGTAACCTAAGCTAGACCACGACAAGGCACCATCTTCAGCGCCAAACTTGCTGAACAAGGTGTTGATCTTGCCAAGGTGCGCCTCAAATCACAACTCGCAACCTCAGGACGACTGAAAGTTACAACAACCCACAATCACCTGGTGAGATTAGCCTCGCTCCGATTTAGACCGGCGATTCTGCAGCGTGCAGCAGCAGCAGCAATTACCACGCATGGTGGTGCAGCACAAACGATAGTCGAGTAGGAAACATGTAAGCTCTTCTGGCGCAAGTGAAAAGGATGCATGTGCTGACTGCCAGCATGGTGACATAGCAACATATCTTCGTATGCCATGTGTTTCGGATTCGAAGGTGCCTCAAGTGCTTGCTCAAACGGCTCCTGCATTCATTGCAGATGCAACACTGGTACGGATTCAAATGCAGAGTCCAAGTACCGCCTGTTGTGCTTGCTCGAGACATCGACCCGCCTCCTTGTTGGCCAGGATCGCATGCACTTTGGAAGCGTGGTCGTTCTGAGCACCATCAATGGCGCTCTGGCAGAAAACTGCAGTAACCTCGGCATGCGAAAACTAACTAACTTTGTTCTGGTGCCGGCAGCCCCCAGATGGACAGGACACCACTGTGAGCACCTCATATCAAAAGGAGGGGCAACTAGGTGACATGAGAGCAGAAGCGCAGCCTACAGCACGAAGCTAGAGGCAGCACTTGACAACTCATGGCACAGCCAACATGGAAAACAACCAAGCCAAGGGTGACCAACAAAGGCCTGTACTCACCCACACCTGGCACGAAAGAGCCAGGCTGGGCAAAAAACAACACCTTATCAAGCGGCCACGCAGCAACCAAGCCAAGGAAATCAACAAAGGCCTCTACTGACCCACACCTGGCACAAAGGAGCCAGGGTGGGCAAGAAAGAATCCGTATAAAGCGACCATGCAGCAAAGAAGCCTTATACAGCGAGCATGCAGCAACCAAGCCAAGAACGACCAACCAAGGCTAGGGAAGAACCAAGCTAGTCTCGCTCTTAGTCCCCCTGCCCCAACGCCGAAGAAGACTGCCGTGCGGGGTCAAGGGCCGAGAGCCGGATCGCCTTGCGGCAACGCCAAAGGAGCACGCAACGGCGCGACATCGACGTGACCATTCCACGACTGCCATCTCACATGACGACTCCACAAGCAACCACACAATTTATTCATGCGACTATCAAAGCCAAGTCTCTCCAACAAAGGCATGCGAACTAACTAGCCTTGTTCAGGTGCCGACAGCCCCCAAATGGACAGGACAACACTGCGAGCCCCTCATAGCAAAAGGAGGGGCAACCATATGACGTGAGTGAGTGCAGAAGCGCGGCCTACCAAGCAAGAGACAACCAACTACGGCCTCTACTCATACACTCCAGACACGGAGGAGCCTGGGTGGATAAGAAAAGAGCCTTATGAAGCAAGCAAAAAGCCTCTACTCGCACACACCAGACACGGAAGAGTCTGGGTGGGCGAGAAAGAAGCCTTACAAAGAAACCACGCAACCACAACCAAAGCGACCAAGTTAAGATCTACCACGCCACAGGTACTCTGGAACCTGCGCAAGGTAGGAGATGACCAAATCCGACTCCCTCTTTTTCCCCCACCCCCAACACTGGAGTCACCTCATCATAGAAAACTAACTTTGTTCTTGCGCGTCAGCCCCCACATGTACAGGACACCTCTGTCTATGCACCCCACACAGTAGGGAGGGCAACCATCTGGCATGCTACGAGCAGTCGGAGCGCGAAGCAAAGACTGGAGCAGACATGCAGAAACAAACCTCGGGCATGGGTGTGGCAGAAAACGACAGGTACCGCAAAGCGTATGACCAACTGTCTAACTTAAAACAGCCCTCAGATGGACAGGACGAGACTGTGAGCCCTTCATGCAGGAAAGCACTTGGAGCCGAAAGGACAGGTACTGCACACGAAGGGGGCATGCTGCCGTTTGCGTCTCTCGCACTTGGGTTTGTCATAGCAGGGCGTGGTGCTAAACCACCCTTTCCCAACCTAAACAAAATGAACCGAAGAGATAGCAAAAACTCATCATCTCTCTATACTAGAAATACCATCTATCGGCAAGGACCTCCTGACTTGGCTGCTGCCAAGTCACCACATTCAACCTAAGCTACCCAGCATTGAGGAGCTCTCCTCTGCGTAAGTGACTCTCTGAGCTGAAGCACTATACAGGGGCATCATCAGGATTTCAATTCATCCCTGAACCGGCAAGGCTAAGGAAAACCGTCAGGGCCGCTATAAGATCAGCGAGTTGGTGCCTCTGTCGGACCACCTTGAGGCCGCCGACTTATTTCTTACTAGAGCCTTGCGGCTTCTGACTTTGATTTGCCCAGCTTCCGAAACCCCAAAGACGCAAAGGCGACTAGCTGTGGAGAGGCCATGCCCTTGGACCAAGCTAACTCTAACTCACACAGCAACAGGCGGAAGCGGAATCCGTCCATGATACTTTCCTGTACTTCGCCTGTCGGGCATTACTTTTGCCACCGGCGTAGGGTTATTTGCCGTCAAGAGAGCAAGTTAGGGCAGTCAGGGTCACGAAGCGTTCAAGGATGCGGGTGTGATCAGGCTTCCAAATCAGAGTTCTGGGAAACAACCACACCTCGCTGCATAGTTTTATTCTCCGAGCTGCACGGCAAAGTACGTGAAAGAAATGTAGAAGAGAAAGATCCAAATCCAGGTTTCGGACATCGCCTTGGTGCGACCACTGTTGGCACTACTGGTAACAGTGCTCATGCTACGGACAGTCGTAGCAGAAGGTAGTTACACGTACTTCTCCTCCTGCATGCAGCCATCATCACTGGTCCCGCAACAATTTATGGACCTGTGTCGGGAGTTCCACTGAACACTTTCATAAGAGCACTAACATGCACAGCCAGCGCTGGTTAGCCAAGGGCTTCGATAAGCTTCACGACTTGCACGATCGGTGGGAGTGTCGGGCTAAAATGAAATCACGGTCCATCACGACACGCAGTCCATTCCCCATAAACTCAAGCTTGCAGCTCCAGCAAACATCAAGCTCGCACAAGTTTGAAAACGCACATGTATAGATTGTAGATTCAACCTCGCTTATGTATAGGGGTCCTCCACTATGTACGAGGTGCTACACAAGGGACGCAAACTTTATCACTCGCTGTCTTCTGTCGTGTGGCACTGAGCGGTGCCAACACCTGTTCCCAGCTCACGCCGCCGGCGATGCTCATGAAAAGGCCTGGTCCCGGCACATATAGTGGCGCGGGTGTTTGTTTGCAGATGTGGCAGGCTATGGCAGGCTGACGCTTTGTCGCGATGGTACCGACACGCAAGACTCACTGCTGGAAATTGCATCGGCATCGGGGTCAACTCAATATATCTCGAGCATACAAGGTCGAAGCAATATTCCTACCACAAGCATGCTGCAGTCATTGCATCTGAGTTGCCCGAGTGGACTTAAGTAACCTGTGTGTGTGTGTGCATAGGACCCAATGTCAACACAAAGTGCATTCAGGCACATCACTTATCCACGCAATGCTTGCTACTGAAGATACTCCAATCATTCACGTCTCTTCAGCTTTTCCGGAAGTAAGACACAACAACATCCATTCCTGTCCGAATCGCTCAGCATCGTCAGCGCCAGAGATCCGAAGTAGCGATCGCTCGCATCGTCGTCCTGAGTTAGAACATGTCCGAACGAAGAAGTGTAGGATACCTTAGCAGTGCGTGCGGGGTGTGCTGCCGCGCACGGAGCTGCTTGGATCCCGCACTACCTCTGTATGGAAGGATTCTTTGATTATGATTCCACTCCGCTGGAGGCTTGGCATTCTATGATTCAGGTGTGGTACTAGACTCAGAGCGATCTGTGAAGGGCAACAGGACAACTGCTTCGGCCGAGAGGCCGCTGGTGATAGAGGAACCTCAGTCTCGCAACACTTGGCGGTTAGAAGCATCAATTGGAGCTGCGGAGCGTAGTTCAGCAGGGACAGGTGCGTTGCAACAGAGCTGATGCGCTGTTGTCTCATTTACAATTGCTGTTGCAGCTGGCGGCAGCGACAATGGTGGTGGCAGTCCTCTGGCAATTTTTTGAACTAGTGTTGTTGCCTGCCAAGGTTGCTGCGCTTGTATTCCGCTGGCCGGGTATGGCGGAGGTGATTAAGGCCGTTTTTGATCAAGGAGCCGCTAGCCGCTAGGCCAGCTGCTTCGAGCTTGTTCACGTACATGATAGACATACCATTGACACCGAGGATTTCCCCCTTTCTTGCGCATGGGATGGCATGGGGGCGAGGAGCGTGGCAGACCATTCCATCTGGACGAACTGCGAGGGCTGACGATTATGACTGGCAGCGGCGATTGAATCACCACTCGAGTCAATGCAGGTTCTGATTCCCAAAAACTGAGCCACTGGATCAAGCGCAAAGAGCAAGTTCAGACATCATACAAGGCAGCAAGGGCAGAACAGTAGCAGATCAAGGGGGCGCAACACTCGGCTTAGCCGACAGCCATGAACAGAGTAAGACGTAAGGCTTCAGAGCTGTTTGCGGGCAGCTGGGCACTTACTAGCTCCCTGCAGTGGATCAGCAATCCTTGAAGTCACAACGCCACTAGGTGCCCATGATTTCCCAACCTCGCAGGCACTTACCGGCAGCTTCGGCACATTGTCAGCGTCCGCCTTGTAGCTGTGCACCGCCTGCGTCAACCTCGCCACGAAACTGGTGCTTGTTTGCGCATGGTGTCAGCAACCATAGTTTCCGCTTCTGGGCCCATTTCCAGACATGCGTTTGCAAGCCGGGATCGAATTTGAGATCTCGAACAAAAGGAGGCAAAAGGTTTCCTTCGCGGTGTTGGAGCTCTCCTAGCTTCGAAGACTCCTCTCAATTGGGTGCTGGTTCAGTATTCTCGATGCAGATACAGTAGGGGCCACGTATGGACCATCCTCTCCTCGAGCCCGACACAGCCTGGAAACCCTAAGCCTTAAGATTGACCCTTACTGTATAGCCGCCACATGGCATGCAAAGGTTTCTGCATCTTGTAAACGCAGACAAAGCGGCAGGATGGCGAAGACATAGATGATCAAAGCGAGAAGCATGAGCGCCCAAAGCAGCGACTTCAAAGTGGCAATGATCCTCGGTGTCATTGCGTTGGGGCTTCTTTCTCCAATCCATGCTTCCTTACTTTCCTCAGTTTTCTGTTATGAACGTTGCTGCTGTCGAACTCCTGTCGTCGGGTGAGTTTAGTGTTGCGCAATTGGCGATAGGTTGGTTTCGGAAGCGATGCCTTAGAGGGTTCGGATTCACAGGAAGTCATGCAACAGTCATGCAATGGATACGGTGTGCAAATGTAACTGCTTAAATAGAGGCGATGGCCATCTCGAAGCTCAATGAGGCTAACGGTGTGACACGACTTTACGATTCATGTCCAGGTCTACGCGAACCACAAGCCATAAATGGAATCCCAGGCAAAGCCACCCCGTGTCTGCTGAGCAGGCAAGGTGCGAGGCAATCAGCAGCCGGAATGCCATCACAAATCGGAAGATTCGGATCAGCCGAGCGGCCTGTTTGCACAGGTCAACACGTGAGGCTTCGCTTAGAAGGCTCTCTTCCGGCGGGTTGGAGCTCACGAGCCTGCAACAGCTACAACATCATGTGCATCGTGGCAGCTCTCTGCTGTGATGACCTCCTTGCGATGTACGTCCCCTTAATTCTGAGTCAGCATTGCATGGGTTCTTTTCGTGCCGTCGGAATTAGGTACAAAATTTCTAGCAGATCTTTAGCCTGGCGTGAGAAACGATAAGACAATGAAGAACCGAGGACTGATCCGGCCGATGAAGTCAAGCTCTCTCTCTCTCTCTCTCTCACAGGCATTCGAAACGTCAAGCCTGGGATGAAGTCAAGCTAAAGGCCTACTGTAATCCCTCACCCTGAACTTGCTATTCAGACTAGACATGTTGACTCCGAACTCTAGCAGAACCCGACATTTGCAGAAGTCTCAGAACATACTTTGAAGATGGAAGTTGAGAATAGCCAGAATTGTACAGGACTCTAAGTCCCAATGCCAAAGCCAAACTTTGAAGGGCACCCCGAACTCCCAATCAGAAATCAACAAGCGCAAAGCCCCAAGCTCAGAACCGCAAACCTGAAACCCTCGACTCCAGACCACGAAAGCGCGCCTTCACGATGCGGGTTATGCGTACAATTCGCAGTATCTTCAGACTTGTCAGACTTTTCAGGCCGCCTCCATCGCCTTCGGTTCCTCGCCATCTTTCTGTCACTTTAATGCGATGTTCACAAGATCTTGCTGGATTTGAGCTACGGGCTATCGTGACCTTTCAAGTCAACCCTGCGGCCAAGGAGTGCGACATGCAGTTCCGGCAGGGAGGGGTAAGGGCTCTGAGCTCTTCAGGCCGGAATCTGGAATCTAATGACTCAAACGGTCGCAAAGTGGCAAGAGATCGAAGGAGTTGAGGATGCGAGCATCCCGATGTTGAAGTAGAAGCTGTCACGATTGACGAGCAAAGCCGTGTGGTTTGACAGTACAACCGCAAGTGACTGGTTTCAGGCGTCTGGCCCGAATGAAAGAGCACGAGCAGGACGAAGCAGACAAGGGGGCAATGTAACAAAACGTGTGATCCGTCCTTGCGCAAAGAAGGCATACGCCTCAAAGCCAACCTCCCAAAGAGAGGTCAGCACGATCATCCTTAGTCCGGCTGCGCATGCCATGTGTTCGCTGCAGTGGCACAGTGGTAGCATCCAAACCGACATAGACATGACCACGTTCTCCAACCGAAAGCTTGTAGACACCTCTGTGCGGGGCTTGTTCCTACTGCGATCGAAGCAGTGGCGAAGTCGATGTTTATCAGACATCTTCGAAGTCATTATGAGAGTCGAGACTTCTCTATGACCTTTTCGTAGTTCTTACCGAATTTTTTCGCATCTGGAAACGGAAAGCGGCGAAAAAGCTGGGGTTTTTGTGGGAAGCAAATCGAAGCAATCGAAGCTTTCAACAAGAAGGCAACAAACTCATCAAGCTGTTTCAAGCTGCAAACAATCGACATGATAAAATCCGTGCAAGTTGACCAGAAGCACTGTTGCCGTCAAGTGAACGAGAGGGTTCTTTTCCCGACAGATAGAGTTAATTTGTTAAGGCAGTGGCTGCTTTTCGGGTGCTGCTGATGCAAGCGAAATGAGAGGATTCAGACTCTTAAAGTGTTTAAAGATCGAGCAGTAGCGGAAATCCCTACGTAGTAGCGGCTCTCGCAAGTCAGGATTCAAGGAAGTCGGCCGTATTAGACATCAGACCAGACGCAGAAATCCAAAACCCGGAAGTCTCGTCTTGGGCACCAAAAGCTCCAAAACCTGAGCCTCAGCCTCGGCCATCTCATCATGTCTCATGCGGCTGAACCCATTGCAGCAAAGAGGCAGGTCCAGCCAGCCCCACATCCAATCCTAGGGTGTTTCAGAATCGGACTCAGGGTCTAAAGTACTTCCCAAGCCAGGGCTCCCGGCTCGGGCTAAAGCCGTATCACTGCATGGCTGGCTATACTGAGAGCCTTGTAGCCCTTTGGGTTGGGAGCTGGTAGCTGCACGGACTTCTGTAGGGTGTTGGTGTTGGGCTAAGGGTAAGACAAGCCAACATCTCAGCCGCCATGATACTGCAACCAGACAATTCTAACAGCCCTTTCTCATTCAACCTCGAACCACCCTCGAATTCCCCCAAAATCTCACTGCCCATGGTGTCCTCGCCACAGAAGAATTTCATCCCACCAGCCGCCGCCCCTCTCAGGAGAAGCTCAGCCAGAAACCTTCCACTTTTCCCGCAATTTCCGGCTTGAGATGACTTGGGGGAGCGCCTAGCAGAGTCCAGAGCTGAATTGATGACAGAGGCAGAAGCCACCTATGACTGAAACAAAACAATACGTATGTATATATATATATATATGCGTGTGTGTGTGTGTGTGTCTGCCTACCTATCTGCCTATCTCTCTATCGATCTATCTACCTACCTACCTACCTACCTATCTACCGATCTACCTATCTACCTACCTACCTATCTATCTATCTATCTGATTCAATCTATCTATCCATCTATCGAGCGATCTATACAGTACAGTATCGAGTTCTATATAAGTACATTATAGAATGCAGACAAATAGTTGTATAAGCACATCCACACACACACACACAGATTTGCAGCCTGTGCGCCACGCTAGGGTAACATGGCCATGGCTTCATCCAGCCAACAATATGAATAACAGCGTGGTAAAGGGAACAAACCAAGGACAAGGAACCGACCACGATTACGAGTACATAAACGGCGAAATCGCAACACGGGTCACCCGACAGTTGCTCTGTTGATGCTCCAAACCTTTTGGCGTAGGTCTTGTGATTTGTGTACCTTTGACAGACATTCTTACATCTATGGGTTCAGAGCCTGGACTTGGTATAATGAAGAGTCTCGGTCTACGAGGTGTTTACTCTTACAACTTGGCTGACCGAGCCAGGTGTTCAACAAGGCTTCGGGGTGGTGTTCAGAGGTCTTTGCACCCGGGGCGCAAAAAGGTAAATGTGTACTGGATGACGGCAATGGGAACCTCAGATGCTTGAGGCTTTGGGGTGGTGCTGCTTGGCAGTGAGACAGTCTGGCTTGAACCCGTCTTGTCCTGAGCGAGGTCGGGATGGTCAGGTTGCCGGATGCACTGTTTGGAAGTTCAAAGGTTTCAGATTCAACCGCCATCAACTGAGCCATCACCATCACCGACATCATTGCAGTTCCAACTTTGAGAACCTAACAGAACAACAAGGGACCGCTGTGTTAGGCTCGAATCACTGCCTGCAGTGAAGGGTGGAGCTGAAAAGCTCCCAACATACCTTCAGCAAGAACCTCAGAAAACAAAAAAAAAAAAACACTACACTTAAACCATCAAAGACTGCACAGCACACGCTGTCAGCCCATTAAGAAGAAGAAGCCGTTGAACACACACTTCAGAACACTACATGCGCTCTTAACGCCAAAACCACTCTTCGGCCAGAGAAACCGGAGTGCCATCGGGGTTTGACAGCGAGACTTGCAGCTCCACTCCTAGGCGGTATGGTGTCCGCGCACAGCACATGGGGCTTGGGTCTTGCTGTGCCACTAGACCGCCATGGACTGTTCGCCTTCGATGAAGGTGTAGGGTTAGTGAGATTTTTTCAATGTTGCATCCCGAGGTCATGTCTGCTGTTTATATAGGCCGTTACGTGATGTTACCCAATTGCAAAGGTCAAGCAGCCTACTGAAGTCGAAGCTGCAACTCAAACCGGAACTCTCCTGCAGGCATGACACAAAAGCCCTCGAACCTTACAAAGCCTGAACTTAATCCCGAATCCTGCACCCTTCAACCTAGTACCGGTAGTACGGCATCAACCTTCAATGCCAAACCAAAATCCTCGTCAACCCGAAGCACTCAACAGGCCTAAACTTTATGCCGTAAACCCGTAGCCCCAGCTGAACTACTGAAGGACTTACCCTGCGGAATCCATGCGTCCGATGAAGATCGAGTTGGAGAGAACCTGGATCCGATAAACCGAGTAAATCAAGATTTAAGCAAAGGGGTTTAGGATTTCGACAAAGGTTCACTCTACACTTAATCTGCTTGCTACGATGACATGCGAAAGCGGTATGCAGCAATCAAGCACTTAGGGCAGAAACAAGGAGCCAGCATCATTAGATCAGGGTCTGGAAGTCTACTATAGCATACGGTCATGAGAGTTGGGACATTACTCAGACCTCTACTATATGGGGGTTTCCGAAAATAGGGGACCCTAATATAGTACCCTAAATAATCGGATCCTTATTATAAGGACCCCAAAATAAGGTACAGCGCCAGCACTGAATAAGAAAACATTGAATTAAGCAACCAGCCCCTGAATTTGCGCGGACCTATACTAAAATCTGCGAAAAGCAAGCAAAAGGAAATAAGAAATTCAGGGTCCCCTACCCCCGAAACCCAATTTCTTATC